GCTATCTTCTGTATCCATTTCTTCAAACGATATGTGAATTATTTCAAAAATTCGGTCGTATTTATATGCAAAACGATAGAGAGCAAAGAATAAGGGAGAAAAAGCTGGAAACTTCCTTCTTTTTCTCGTCCATACTTTGTATAATATGGAAAAGAACGAAAAAGTAATCCGAGCGATTATTCAGTTCGGCAGAAAAAAATGACTCATTATGTAGTGATATAAAGAAGAGAACGATAAATAATCGGTAGAAGATAACAAAAAGGTCATTAAGTGTATTTATTAAAAGTTAACTGTCCATGAAACTGGACATCTCGAAAAAATTTTCTAAGAAAACTGAATCGGGTTGAATGGGTTAAATTTTTATTTTTTAAATATTCATTTTTTTTCCTCGAGAAGAAGGACGTAGAGATATTGAATAGTTAGCAAAATTTTTATCGTTAGTAAATTCGTTGTTTGTATTCATTGAATATTTAATGTCTTCTCGAGCAGAGAAACATGGGACATGGTTTGATTGGTTTTGATTTATAGTGTTCTTAAATTTGCTGCTAAAATCTACATCGAACGATTGGTAATATTGTGAATAGTAGTTGGTTTGTTTTTGATTGATTGAGTAATAATTGGGATTGATATAGTCTATGATCAGATGGTAAGGTATGACGAATTTTTTGAGTATATTGAAGCTGAAAATGATTGGATAAGACTTTCAAAGAAAATTAAGTAAAATTTTTTGATGTTGATTATGTTTCAATCGCTGATTGACACTAATGTACTCTAAAGTTATTTTACCATATTAGCGCTACTTATAATGGATTTTGGTTCATATCTCCAGAATGATATGTCGTTAGATAGTACGCTTCACGCGTCTAGAAGCAGAAGAATTACTTGATTGTTGGTGCGAGTTTTATCCAATCACACTGAGTTTCATTGAAGTCAAAATTATCACACCCCTCATCGCAAGATCCTATACTAAGACATATTGTTGATTATCTACTCGTCACACTTATTCTCAGGAAATCTATCATGTAAGATTATACTTTAGAATTGCAAGCATCCGCTTTTTTGGAAGCAGAATCACACAAAAAATATTATGTTTTTATAAAAAGGAGATAGAATGTGTTTCTTGATGTTTCATAGCAACGAACATTAATCAATTTATTATGAACAGATGAATAAAATTCATATGATTCTGATATTTACCGAAGAATAATTGTTGAGAACGAAAATCGTGTATGCCAGTATTCTAAAATAATTTGAAAGAAATCATAAAAACTCGGTCAATAACTTAGTATTGCTATAGTTACAAAAGTTGATCATAATAGCACACAAACATTAATTATCGCATGATGCCTGTTATCCACATGCATTCCAAACTCAACTAAATTCCGATATCAACTGTGGCATATATTTCTTAAAGATAAATGATTCAGTTATCTTCACTTTGTACGTGATAATTTTTTTCATTCGTTTATCTTTATTTTCGAAAGTAATGCTAAAGAACTACTCCAAAAACCTCAACAGGAAACTAATAGTATTTATTACAACCGCTTCATTGTACACAATCAAACGAAAAGTGGCATTGTTTGTCTTTTAAACTAGAATGCTACATGCAAGTGGAAAGGCAGAGACTTCTACGACCTGTCATGATATGAAAATCGAGATGACAACAAGTGAGAAGTGATCAAGAGCGCTGGAGGCAACGCTGCAACATTTGGACGTTCTATGCAAATGACATCAAATCACGTCCATATGTGAGCAATTGAAAAAGGCTGCCCGCCACTGTGACCACGACATAGTACAAATCAACTTCATTCCGATGCGGATGACGACGACAACAACATCGGATCAAGAAAATTTGAACGAACTACCATCAACATTTATGTATTCGGTACTATTCAAAGATATCATACAGGAAATCGACGAAGACAATGTTAAGTCAATGAACGACCTAGTCAATTTTTGCCGTAAGCAAAATATTCCTGAATCAGAATTAAAAGCTTTTCAGAGTACATACCATCAAAAATCAGCAGTCTGGTGGTATAGCTGTGAGATTTTCTTATATAACATGCTCAATTGCGCCCTACGATCTCTTGATATGGAGGTCATGTTAAAAATAGGCTTTTTTGTTCGTAGTCTCCATCAGCAATTAAAGCAGCTATACGAAGAACAGTCGAATTCATATAAACAGCCATTTAGAGTGTATCGTGGTCAGGGATTGATCCAAGAGGCTTTCAATCATCTACTTGATACGAAAGGGGGACTTATCTCCTTCAATAATTTCCTGTCGACTAGTAAAAAAAAACAGATAGCCATGAGGTTTATAAACACATCACTGCAAAAGTATAAGGAGCATATCGGCATACTATTCATTATAACGGTTGATTCAACTAACGTATCGCCGTCAACATCGCCATTCGCGCTTATCGAAGAACATACTGCTGTTCCACAAGAACAAGAAATTCTTTTCTCAATGCACACTGTTTTTCGTGTACATACAATAGAACAGACAGCCAAAAGTAGCCGCATATGGAAAGTTTACTTGACTCTTACTGATGACAATGATCCACAACTGGCTGCTCTCACACATCGCATGCGAGAAGAGATCGATGGCAGGGGATCATATCGAATGGGTAAACTTATGATCAAAATGGGTCATTATAATCAAGCCGAAGAACTTTACCAAGAATTACTTGAGAAACCTTCCAGTGACAATGACAGAGCAGATATCTATCACCAACTTGGATTGGTGAAATGTCTACAAGAGGAATACAGCAAAGCAGAATTATTTTACGAAAAATCGTTTAATGTCTACCGAAAAACTCTTCCGAAAGACCATCCGAAATTAGCTTATTCTTACCACAACATGGGTGACCTGTACAACTACATGGGCGAATTCTCGAAAGCGCTTGAATATTATGGAAAAGAAAAGGACATCCTCGAAAAGTCTCTGCCTTTGAGTCATCCTAATTTCGCTGAGTTCTATAAAAAAATGGGTTATCTCTATAATAACATGGGTAACTTCTCAAAAGGACTCGAGTTCTTCGAAAAAGCACATCAAGTGTTTGAAACAGTTCTACTTTCGAACCATCCCGATCTGGCTCTTTCCTATAACGACATTGGTTGGGTGCATAGCATGCTGGGTAACTACTCAAAAGCACTCGAATTTCTTGAAAAAGCACGACAACTCTGCGAAAAAGTTCTACCCCCAAATCATTCTCTTTTTGTTGTTTCCTACGGTAACATTGCTCAAGTGTATATTAGCATGGGTGACTACACAAAAGCACTGGAATATCAGTACAAAGTATGTCAAATACAAGAGAAAACTTTGCCTCCGAATCATCTCAATTTGGCTAATTCCTATACTGGTATCGCTTTTCTGTATAACAACCTGGGTAACTACTCAAATGGACTCGAATTCTTTAGAAAAGCACATCAAATCTATGAAGAAGTTCTATCTTCGGATCACCCTAACCTGGCTCTTTCCTACAATAACATCAGTAGAACGTATACCAATATGGGTTGCAACTCGAAAGCGCTTGAATATTACGAAAAAGCCCACAAAATAAAAGAGAAAACTCTGCCTTCGTATAATCTCGATTTGGCTAATTCCTATAAAGACATCGGGTACATGTATAACAACCTGGGCCAGTACTCAAAAGGGCTCGAATTTTTCGAAAAAGTGCATAAAATATTTAGCGCAGTTCTGCCTTCGAATCACCCTGATCTGGCGGTTTCCTACAATGACATCGGTTGGGTGTATTGCAAAATGGGCGACTATTCGAAAGCACTTCAATTTCACGAAAAAGCATATGAAATTTTCGAAAAATCAGTGCCTCTAAATCGTTCTCAGTTGACTCTTAGTCTCTTGAATTCAGCCGAGTGCTACGAAAAAATGGGTGATTATGCAATGGCTCTCAAGAATCTTCAGAATGCTTTTCAAATTCAACAAAAAATACTTCCAGAAAATAATCCAGCTTTTGTTGATACATATCGAGGCTTAGGAACGGTTTATCGGAGTATGAAAGATTACTCAAGGGCACTCGTATATTTTCAGCAGGGCCTTGCAATAGATGAAAAATCGTTACCGGCAACGCATCTCAGTTGGTCTATTACGTGCAGTCATATTGGTGATGTTCACAGATTAATTGGCAAGTATGAAATGGCACTTTCATTTCATCAAAAAGCTTTAAATACTCAACAAAAAGTTGAATGTAACCCACTGGACTGTGCTACGACGTATACAAATTTAGGTGAGACCTACCGAGCAATCAATGATTATTCGATGGCATTAACATACTTTCAAAAAGGACTAAGAATTCGTGAAAATATGTTACCCAAAAATCATTCTGATCTAGCAGCAATTTATAACAGTTTAGCGAAAGTATACTTCGCCAGTAAACAGTATGGTATGGCAATGAAAAATGTTCAACAAGCCATAGAAATCGCTCAAGAGAAGTTGCCTTCAAATCATCCTCATCTTCTAGAGTACAAAGAACAATTGGAAATTATTCGAAGGAAAACGTAAATTTATCGTCAGTTTTTATTTCCTCAATAAATCTCTTCTAATTGCCTAAGAGTAAGAGTCTGAGAAAATCAATTACTATAGCGCATCGACAATGGAGTGACATTGCAGACTTGGCTAACTCTTGGGTATATTGTAGAGAATGTAAGTGTGGGATGTGGGTCTAGGTGGGTGTGTGGACGCGCGTATTGGGGTGTCGGTGAGTATGAGGATGGATATAAAGTGTAGGTGTGGGTGTGGGTGTAGGGTTTGGGTGTGGATGGATGTGGAGTGTGCTTGTGTGGTATGCGTGTGGGTGGATGTGGAGTGTGCTTGTGTGGTATGCGTGTGAGTGGGTGTGGGTGCAAGTGAATAAAATAACCCACTCACACCCTCACACCCACACCCACACCTACACCCACACACCCACAACCACACCCCAATTTTTGGACGATACATTTCCTAATCCGTGGATCGGTCGACATGGATGCATTGACTGGCCAGCGAGATCTCCAGATCTCACACCGACTAATTTTTTTTATGGAGTGTGATCAAAGACCGAGTGTATGCGACGAAACTTCAAAATCTTCAAACACTAAAAGATGCAAAGCTTACCAGTGAAATTATGTCGCAGTGCTTGTTAGTCAGTGCCTGAGAGACTTCGACTTTGTAAAGATTTAGAAGGTAAACATATTGAACAATTTTTATGAAAAACGTCGTAATCAAAATACTTCATAAAGAATACTTCTGTACATGCCATTTGTTGTTTTCAACGTATGATAAAAGTTTTGTTAAAATTCATCAGTTTTTCCTTCTTCTCAATTATTTTATATTTGTATGTTTTTGAACTAATTACAACATCTAGATATTCTTTAAATGTTGCATTTATTACTTATATCACCTAGTATATGTGGTATAAATATGCAGTCTACCCGACGTTCTATAACATAGGAATCGAAAAAATACTTTGTGTACTTACTTATGGGCTACCCGATATTTAATTGTACTATTTGAATATTAAACAAAAAAAATTTGCTCTTATGCTATTAATTTAATTGATATTCTTCTTCTTCCTCAATAAAAACATTGATTGTCAATTCATATTTCTATTAATTTAAACTTATATTTCAATAAAATTCTCATTTTCATCTCATGTAATACAAATATTATCTATCAATCTATATTTCTATTTATTTGTAAACTTATATTTTTATCAAATATTCATTCTTTTCTCATGTAATACAAACATTCATTATCAACTGATATTTCTACACACTATATTAAAATGTGTCATGTTTATGTATCGTGAATTATTGTGCCACACACTTCAGCAGAAAAATGTGTCTTGCTTAGAATGTGTCATATACGAATTTGTTGCGTTCTGTCTGTCGACTATTCGTTCACCGTTTTATTATGGATACATGGTGATATATAAACAACGTGGTTGAACATAGAAAAAAAACATCGAAATATGATTTTCCAAACGGACCAGTAGAAAATCTGTCGCATGTGTCGTACGAAATGTGTCGTGGTCCTGCTGGAGAAAATGTGTCGCAGTGAGCTCCTCGTGTCGCACTTTAATGTGCCGTACAATGTGTCGCAAAACACGACACTTGCGACACATTTTAACTTAGTGTGTATTAATCTGTGACTTATATTAAGTATTCACGAAAATAACAACCTATATTCTTCTTTGATTACTAACATTTATTCTTATCGAATATAATTTGGAAATTTATATTCTTATCAACATAAAACATCAACTCCTATTATTGTTTATTATAAACATATAATCTTATTATACAACCAAATATTGTTTCTCTTCCGTTGTTATTAACTCATATTCTCATTCACTGGAAAACTCCATTAGTGTAACTTACTTATAATATCCTTTCAACTTACACACTAAGTTAAAATATGTCGCAAGTGTCGTGTTTTTCGACACATTGTACGACACATTTTCTCCAGCAGGACCACAACACATTTCGTACGAGACATGTGACACATTTTTTACTGGTCCGTTTGGAAAATCATATTTCAATGTTTTTTTTTCGATTTAATTTCATTTAATTATTCCTATTCTGAAAACTCAAGCTGGTCAGATCCTGGGATCTGTCCAATCTCGAGTTGATCTGATTTGTATCAGATCGCTTCAGAGTAGTCCTCTCACGATCATGGATTGAGATTGGCATTTTCTCGATGAAAAAATAATAATCGAGAAATAATCTAGAAAATAAAAATAATTTGAAATTTTTTTTTTCTATGTTCAACCACGTTGTTTATATATCACCATGTATGCATAATAAAACGGTGAACGAATAGTTGGCAGACAGAACGCGATAAATTCGTATATGACACATTCTAAGCAAGACATATTTTTCTGCTGGAGTGTGCGACACAATAATTCACGACACATAAACACGACACATTTAAATTTAGTGTGTAGAAATTCTCATTCTTCTCTTCTAAGTTAAACTTATATCTACATTTGACATTAATTTAAATAACTATTTATTTTCTCAAATTTGTCAATTCATATTCTTATACTTTGTTACTCAACTCATACAACCAAATAAAAATCTTTTTGTGATTATTAAATCATACTTTTATTAAATGTAGCTTAACTCACATTCTTCTCCAACTATGAACTTAAAATTATCGGTAAACTTACATTCTCGTTTAGTTATGAAACAATGAACTCATGTTCTACTCTTATTGCAAAACTCATATAGTCATTAAAATACTACTTTCCTATTTTGTTAAGTTTTTGAATTCCTTAATTATATTCATTGTAAAAATGATATTTACAGCAGTTATTTACTCCATTGTTTTGTAATAAATTATCTAGTGGAACACAGTGAATAGATGAAAAACTATGTGTCAAACTTCATCTATCTTATTTACAATTCTAATGAAGTAGTCAATTGACAATTTAATATATGTTATTGACATTATATCGACACATGTCAAGAAAATACTGATTTGAGTGATTTTATTTCTTAGCATTTAAGGATGGTTACAATACAGATCGGATACGAGAAAAACTTCTGAAGATCTATATCGTGAACTCAAATCTACTGCTAGAACGGTAACACGACAAGCAATAATAGCAGTGTGGAACACATGGTCAATAATAAAATTTATTCAGTTCGCTGTTTTGCTGCTTTTCTGATTAGTTGCACCTGATATGCTCGATTATTTCAAGAAAGAACTGATTAAATTTGCGAAACTATCTTAAGCTTTTATTTTTCTTTTATCTATTTTTTTTTCTCATGCAAATTATGCAGTAATAATCTTTTTTTGGTATACATATGGGCGTGACCAGTCGTGTTGGTACCCCAAGATACAGAATAGGAAATTATATTATTTCAGGAAGGAGTATATAATGAATTTTATACCAAATGAAAGCTCGTCAAAAATGGGATTTATTGATACTAAATAGTAAGGATTTTGTAAAATTTGTAATGCCGAACTTAAAAAACTGAGAAATTTTCTACATTAAAAAATGTTAAAAAACTCACATTTTCTATATGGAAGAAAAACAGTAGATTTTCCCCATAAAATTAGCTTTTTTTCATTCTTTCTACCACCTCACATGTTTCGAAAAACACTTATTCGATTCAGTTTTCCACACTGCATCTATTGAATACATTTTGAAACATCTGAGGTAGTAGAAATAATAAAAAGGGCTAATTTTATGGGATAATCTAGTGTTTTTCTTCCATATAAAAAATGCAATTTTTTAAAATATTTTTAATGTAAAAAATTTCTTAAAATTTCTTAAGTTTGACGTTACAAAGTTTACAAAGTCCTTACTATTTAATATCAATAAATCCCATTTTCGCGAGCTTTCATTTGATATAAAATTCATTATATTCTCCTCTCTGCAATAATATTATTTCCTGTGAGGCCTTATGTCGACTGGGCACGCCCCTATAGAAAATGTGAGTTTTTTAACATTTTTTAATGTAGAAAATTTCTCAGTTTTTTAAGTTCGGCATTACAAATTTTACAAAATCCTTACTATTTAGTATCAATAAATCCCATTTTTGA